GGTCGAAAATTGCAGGCGAAAATGCGTCAAACTTGTTTTCTCAATTACGAGTACATAAAAAAAAGGACGAAGGGAAAGAAATTTTTCTTCTCATCAAGCGAGCAAAATTAATCGATGAGAGAGAATTAATTAATTGATAATCTTACAGAATATATATATATATATATATATATATATACATTAGTATTACATTTCTCTTAATTAGAAAAATCCATATTATTCCAAAGGAATTAATTCATTAATTTATATGTTCTCTTCGCGTACTGGAAAGAATGATTTGGTTGGATCGTCAAAATAAATATAAGAAATTTAAGTATAATGCTGCAAAAAATTTTTATACTTTTTATACTAACAATCAGCTTGAGCATTCTGTATAATTATTCTGATAGTTCAACAAAATTATTTTCAGATTTATATTTTTAGATATTTCAGCAAAACCATTCGTTCCGTGTATTCGAATGCAACTGTAAATAAAGTATCTAAAAAGAGCTAGACGTTAATTAGCGTTAATAAATAATAAAAATTCAGATTATTAGTACTTTTTTTATTTTTATAAATCGAGTTACATATTAAAGAATTATCTATAATGACAATTCGATGAACTTCTATGCCGAAGAGAAGTCGAAATTGATTTCCTATTTGTTGGTAAAATAAATCAAATAAAGGTCAGAAAAGAGAATAATTTATCTATTTTTGACGCGCGAGTTTTCGCTTCGTTCTCATTCAATTATAGCACAGTTTAAATACCGCGCTGTAATGTACGGTCGTTAAAAGTGGATTTAATTGAGAGTCGTAGAAAAAAGAAAATTGGTAGATTTTCGAGAACCGGAGAGTGTGTCGGGTATCATTCGACCGATTTATGATGATCCTCTTCGTAGGAAAGTAGAGACCATGAATTCCTGATTGCTCGACGGAAAGAACTCGAAGAGAACTATAGAGTCGGATTCCTCCTTGCGTCTCATCGCCTGTAAGATCAAATTAATTCTGCGAGCAAAATCTTTAGGATCGCATAAATTTGACGAACAAATAAAAAATGAAATATATAATCGAACGAGGCGAAATAAATTTAAATAATCGTTGAAACAGTAGACTATTGGACGTCGCGTTTATGCTGTTGTCGCTTCGCGTAGCGATGAAAATAGACGAACCACATTAGAAGATCAAGAGAGATCGGATGCGGAAGCGTGTCTCATGAGAGAAAAAGCAGATTTATCGATCGCTCTTCCCCCTTCTCTTTCCTCTAGTTCCAGGCATCATCTTTCGGTCAGCAGCTTTTTTGCTCCGTGTGCGAGAGACAGAAACCAGCGAGACGCGTGGCTCTTAAAGCGAGGCGGCGTCATGACGTGGACAATTTGTAGCGGAGTGTCAACGCGGCTGTTTCTATTTTCGAGTACGGCCGAGCGCTTTTTTTTCTTCTTCTGCTTCATACCCACGTGTTCTCCTCCCTCTCTCTCTCTCGTTGTCTACCTGCTCTTGTTTCTCCATTCCATTCGCCCACCGACGACGAGACTGGCCGCGAGATCCGCGCGCTGGATAGGAAGGTGGATTATCGCGGATATCTTGTCCCGTATCCTGCTTCTCTCTTATATCGGTGGCTGACGTTTTCTGGTCTCCTAACATAAACACCGCAAGCAACCGTGTATTTTCGTTCCGCGATTTGTCAGGGGTTGGAAAAACGCTTGCTCGAAAGCTGAACACCCACGAGACACGCCTGGAATTGTTCTTGTTTAATCCTTGGTACACACGATTGAGTCATTCGTATCATACACGAGGGGGTAACCACTAGCTGAAATATTGTCCCACAGATTACATGATTTTATTTGATTTCATACGATTTCACCTGATGAAAAATAATTTTCTTCACTATATATATATGAAGTTATTTAGTAAAATAAACGATTATATCTGATATTATACAATTATTCCTTGTAATTGCATATATAATTATCGGATTATACATAAGAATTTCATATGAATCTTATACTGATTTCAGGAATTCTATCCCACAATTACATTAAGTGGTTACCTCCTCGATCATACACATTTTCTTTTTTCGAAAAACTAGCAGCATCAAGTAATTGATTATAACATTTATAATACATTTTTTTCAAATACATAATCTTATACTTTCTAAAGATGTTAAAGTATGTAAGAATCATTCAGTAATCCTTGTTATTTGTGTTAAAGTGATAAAAAATAATCCAGATAACCAATAACACGAATGATCCATCGTGGAAAACTGGAATAATTAGGTACATTATCGTGCGTATTAAGGGTTAATAAGTCGGTCATTTCACATTGAAAAAAATACTAAATTTTAATAAATATTTGTTTGAATAGTTTTAAGTAAATATTTATTACTATTATAAAACATGCATTCATTTGACACAAAATCATTAATTTGGTTTAACTATTCATTTTTTTATTAATCAAATATGTGTTTACTATAAAAAAAATGCTTACTTAGTAGTATTCAAAAATATATGTATTAAGATTTGGTAAATTAAACAATTTTTCAGTATATTAGAGAACTATGTCGTATATACAAAAAAAACTGCTAATTAAATTTTTAGATACTTCAGAAAAACGATTCCTTCCATGGGTGGACAGTGCTGACAAATTGACTGTGCACGCATCTTACAATTAATATCGCTAACAGGCGACACTCAATATTAATTATGACTGTCAGTCGACGAACTCGCAATCATGCTTCATCGATTAGTTTTAAATCGTGAAACTTGTTAACACATCCAAATGTGCGCATAATTTTATTTTGCGTTGAGGCATGATTTCGATGTCGAACACGTTTCAAAGATCAAAATATCGTTTCCTTTGATACAATTACTCTCTGATATTGAATTATATAAACAGTTTACTGATAAAAAGAGACGCAACGCGTTTCTTTTTTTATCAGCAATCAGAGAATCGAGAAAATCTGTTGATATTTAGTATAATAATATCTATATTAATTATATTATATTATTAATATTATAAGAATATATTATATGTATAATATAGTATGAGACGAGCACGTGTCGAAAAACCGTAATTAGATTCGTTCTAAAATTTATTCCAGTTTACACGTAAAAGCGAAATTAATCAGCCAGGAGCAATTTTTTTTTCATTTCTTCATGTCTGTAGCTACTGGAGATAAAATAATGTGAACACTTAAAAAATATATTATCTACTTTGTTTATTAATAAAAAATTGATCTACTATTTGTCTTTAATAGATGTTTACGTTATTTGGTCTATTCCCATATACGAGAATTATCGATTTCATATTTTTGTGTAGTGTAATAAAGATTATTATTATTCTTACGAAATGCTGAATGAGGGTGCATTCGCAATGATCAGCGTGATATCGACATGACGTCAAAATAAACGCAATAATCTCATTGTCGTTTCATTGGTTAGAAAACCTGAGTTAGAAACCCGAGTTGCATCGAATACGCGATAAACCCAGAGAGCTTATTCGTGCGTTTTTGCGATCGGTCGAGCAAACGAGGCTCGAATTGGAGAACGCCGACCTCAGCGTCGTTTTGTCGAGGATCTGCAACGAGTGCATTTCAACATATAAAAACGCACCTCTACGTCGTGGAAAGGGAAAATTATCATTCGATCAGTACACATTATTATAAAATAAATGTCACGGACGTCGAGCGTTGAATTTGTGTTCCATAGGAATGTTTTGCTTTTAATAATCCTTACACAAATCTAATACTGATTAACTTAATACTGAAAGAGTGAACTATAAAATAACTAGAGAATAAATATTTAATACAGCAACTAATTAATTATTTTAAGTATTAAAAGTATTGTTGTTTAATATTTTTGATACTTTAAATAAGTAATACTTTTAAATAAGTAATTAATTACTGTCCTCCAGTAATAAATTGATTAGTATTACATTTCTGTAATAGTATCGAAATAATCACGCGCGTACGTGTTGAACGTTAAATTCAGTGATATCAATATTTAATTAATTATGATGACGTTAATATTTTAATGTCAATATTTTAAAATAATTACATTATAATTACGCTATATTGGTTTTGTAGTTTACAACATTCGGATGTTGCGGTCAAATCAATAAATATACGGGTCTGTACAAAACATATGTTAAACAGCTAAAAACGCGTATTTTCGATACATGTAGGAAAAAGATGTTTCATTCGTAATTTTCGTCATTAAAAAATAATCGCGTTTTAATCTCTATTAAAAAAATAGTAGCGATCTATTTTCTCGGTTGTTCAGATAAGTTTAACTCTTCGCACCTCCTTTTCCTGTTGGTTTTAATAATGAATGTATTTTGCCTGAACACGCACGCCCATTCCCTCTTTCGTGAGTGCACGCCCGGGCACGTACGGCTCGTGCTAACTGCGCCTCTTTGTTTTTCCCCTCCTCGGCACCTTGTGACACGTACGGGTGTATTGATTCGACTCCGGCTTTTACGCACGCACTCTCGGCCGGTCCGAAAATCCGAAGGGAAATGCAACGTGACAAATACGCGCAGCTGATACATCGAACTCGGTCACTCCAAAGTTGGAAATGCCTAGCGCTTGTTCTTCGTCGAATTTAGAGTCGACTCTTTCGCGCGAACAAAAGAGTTCATCGTTCAACATATTTGTGATATATCAAAACACATCGGGTATTTTTATCTTATTTATCTAAATTTCAAATTAAAACTTTATCGAAGTCTGTTTCCAATTGAAAGAAAAATAATATCACGGTATTTATTCGTGTCCTCGAATTTTAATTCGGAGGAAATATTTTGAAAGACTTGTTGGCGTCAAAAAGATTAATTTTTAATTTTTCAAATGAACGATGCTTTTTCTTTATCCGCTTACTTTCAAAGATATAGTGTATATATTGCTCGTTTTGATAAATTAAAGATGGGATGTTCTCATTTAGTTCTAGAGTTTAGGGACAAGGAAATGGAAACGTTCACAATAAAACGGAGATTAATACAATATAGAAGTACATATATTATACTTCCCATTATATTAACAATATATTTAACTTTTAATGGCCGATAGGAACCGGCAAATACGCGCTGCATTATCTTCGTTAATTCATGCAGCGATACAAACATATCTGCGCACGGGGATAAATTTTATAATTTTAATACTCGATGCTAAACGATTTATCATTATTCTCTGATAGTTTACGTCGGTTCTCTTCTTTTCTTGCGGGGAATGACTAAAGCAGAAAGAACGATGGATGTGCGTCACTTATCTGTTCCAACTGTTAATCTTCTTCGAGATCGGGAAGATCATCATCGAGATTGACACCCTAGAATAGAAAATATTTTAATTATATAAGAAATTTAGGTCGATAAGTATAAATTAAATAAGAAAAAAATTTCTATTTTCGATCAAAGCAAATCAGGATACTTGATAATGTTCGTATGCAAAGTAAATATATTTTAGTTTTATAAACTGCGCGATTCAGTTTGTCGCATTTAAATGCAATCATAAACTGAAATTGAAAATAATATCATAAATTACAAATTATCGTCAATGTAAGAAAATATTTCAGTTATATTTTACAAACTTTCCTCAACAATAATACTTAAATAACGGACAAACATTGTGTTTATAAAATGAAATAATTAGAAAATAATTTGAATATATTACACAATCTTTTTCCACCCCCTCTCTTGTAAAAACGAGAAATATCGAAACGCAGATATTCCTAAATGCACCATCGCGAGTGAATGGAAAAAAAGGGAGGCAGAGCGTGACAAAACGTAGTAATGGTCGGAACCTTATAGTAAGAGGGGTACGGTTCGACTCCGGAGTCGAGTGTTATGGCAACAAGTCTGTAAACAAAATGCGGCGTGACTGCCTCGCAGCAAACAAGCCCCCGAGGCCTTTCGCAAAAGCTCGTAGAGAAAAAGAGAAAGAGAGAGTGTGTACCACTGTTCTCTCGCGTTCGTATCAGTTACACCGGGACCGAGGGCTTAATGATCTGTCGCCGATTTTCGCGTTGTACATATATATGTATATGCACACATGTATATATAAATGCATACTGATATAAATAAGACTTGTATAAATTTAAATACACGAATTCTTCTCGAGAGAGTGAATTAATAAAAAAAAAAAAAAAATTTTCTTTTAAATTTTCAATTCTTC